ACAATGATCTGCATTGAGTGTCCATCAATAATTATGTGATTTGCAGCAACACAAATGCGATCTGCATCAAGGCAAACTAGGAAGGGAGGTTTTTCGAAAGGGTCAAGGATGAGGTCCGCCTTGGCATCCAGATTTTGGAAGCACTCAGTTCCTGAAAGAACTTCTCTTGTATAGCTTCTGCCATTTCTGGCGAATCGCGTTCGAAGAGAAGAATGGATCATTATCAACTGGTTGACAAGCTCTACACACTTGCTCGCACTGATTGCCTTCTTCAGAACGATGCCTGCAGTGAGAGTCATAGAGAATGCTCGAGCCTTTGATTTCTGAAGGAGCGAAGGGGTGATTTGCAGGGGTGATGGCTCTTCGTCAATTTGTATGCACTTCTCTTCTTTTGTCTTCTCTTCTGCATCAACTTCAGTAGGAAGTTTTCCGAATGCCTTTGATCCAATTCGCCAAATCTTTCACATGTGGGTATTCGAAGATCTTCACTATAGGAACTGATAATCCTAAGGATTTTTCAAGTCTGGCCACCAGACGAACGGCCAGCAGCGAGTGCCCACCTGCTTGGAAAAAGTTTGAGTTGATGTCTATTTCTGGTTGCTGAAGAACTTCCCGGTAACTTTTCAGAACTTGTTGTTCGACATGATCTCGTGGGTCTGCCTTCCGCCTTTGAAGGGGCTAGGAAGTCGGCCCTCGAAGACAGCTTAACTCTGTCAACTTTTTATGATATTACGGGAAATTTTGGCAACGAAATTAAAGTTTCGAAGGTAGCATCACGGGTAATTATCCGACCACTCCAATGATCCCTGCAGTTCCCGTGTAGAACAAAACTACATGATTGGATCCGATCGTGTCCCTCTGAATCACAGCGACAGCGTTTGTCACGCCGTTGATGTTCCGTGCTACTGCTTCGATTTCGGATAGCTGAACGCGCTGGCCCTTCACCTTAACCTGATCGTCGTTTCGCCCAAGAAAATGCAAATGTCCATTTTGGTCACGCCGTAGCTTGTCCCCAAACAAGGTACACTTTATGATTTCTCGTAGAAGTCGACTTCAAGCGTTCAAATGATTACCGAAATCCCTGGACGCTAGCTGACATATATCTCTGGCAAGTTTCCCCACGGCATTAAACTGCTTTATCTACGTCCTTCGCTCGACGACGCGAGCGAAGATCAGAGACCATGCCAGGCCCGGAATGGCCAAGACCCAAACAAGTGGCGCTGCTGGCCTCTCTCATCTTTAGCGATGTTTGGTAACAGGTGGCCTCAGTAGGCCCATAAAGCTAAAGAAACCAGTTGCTGCCCCTGGCGAATCATAAACTCCAGGGTGGATTCGGAGATAGTTTCACCACCAAAACTCCACAGCTCCACTTCTGAAAGTCGGGACAAGTCCTGCTCACTGAACATCTCCATTATGATGGGAGTCATGTGTACCACTGCTATTGGCTGCCGCTTTACCAAATCCTCCACCGCGTCTACGATTTCGTCCCTAATGCTGAGGATGCCTCCGTTCAGAAGGCTACCGAACGTGTTGCTGATACTCGCATCGAATGAGCTTTTCGTAAATTGTAAGACACGTCCGCCAGGTCGAAAGCCGTACAGTCTCGTCGCATGTTTCAGCATATTCAGCGTGCTTTGATGACTCACACAAACACCTTTGGGCTTGCCAGTGGTACCCGAGGTATAAATTAAGTAGGCAAGAGAAATCGAGCACGATCGAGGCCAGCTATGAGCTCGCTTCTCAAACGACAGTTGTGGGTACAGAACTCGGAACCGAAATATTGGGCAGGTTTAGATCAGTGACAACAAGTTGCGCTTGGCAGTCCGCCAGTATGTATTGCATCCTCTCAGGAGGTGTATCTGGAGGCAGGCACAAATAGGCGCAGCCGAGCAGATGCACGGAAATGATGGTTACGTGAGTTTTGATTGTTTCTGGCAGAACTATACAGATCACGTCGTCACTTCTAGGAGGCTCCCCATTGTTTTTGAAGATCGTCTCTTCCATTTGATTGGCAAAATTCATGGCAGCCTCCACAGTGTTTTGAAAGCTTAAGATCGAAGAAGTGTTTTCAAGGCAAACCCTGGATGGAATAATCGCGGCCTGCTCTCTGAAAGCTGTCCCTAAAGTTTTGCAGCGAGGAGTGTTGTAGGATAAAGGGCTATCAATCGTGCCATGTAGACCGATGGGTTGCTTTTGCTTCAGAATCCGATTCAAAAACCTTTTGAACAGTTTTAAGAGTTCATTGATTGTGGATATCGAGCAATGACTTTTGTCGTACTGTATCAATAGGCTGAGCTTCCCGTGCTTCCCGTGCTGAAAAATCCAACTTTGGTCGAATTGCGCGAAGGTGGT